AATCAGGAAGAACGCACGTTCGACTCAGAAAAGATATTTGAGATTGGAAAAGTAGACAGAAATGTAGAAATGCAAGTAAAGATGCAAGAAAGATAACTTTGCAAGATAAGATTAAAGCAATGTAAAAGACTTTCATTAATAAAAAGAGGTGTTTCCAACGTACATTTCTCAGTTTTATCCATTCTCACACAGCGGTTACTTGGACAATATTTGAGTGACTAGTACAATAGGTTGAACACCCTTAAAAACTACACAGGTTTCCTAATTTATACTAAAAACTAAGTAACCGTCGAGGAACGACTCTGCGCTAAGATGAAGACAAGTGTCTTCTGTATGTCCCTCGACCTATGGCTTTCAGCCACGTTGCTTCTTCTTAGCCACTATCGAAACTGTCTTTTCCTCCAATAATTCAAATTCAAATGTCCCTTGTATCATGTGTCAAAGCGAGGGTATTTTCTCTCAATCGAAGGTCATAAGACCTCTTCAGTCGAAAACCCTGAAGGTGAGACCTGGTCGAAGGCTCAAATACAACTTAGATCTTTTTTCCTAAGTTATTTCATACGTCGAAACATTCTTCTTGGCTTGGTTTATTCCAGTTTTTTGGTCTAAAAGGCCAAATATAATAAGTGTCGAATTTGGGAGCCAACAAGTATCTCAAAGGAACTCTCGACTATGACATTTTATTTCCTGCAGCTGATAAAGGAAAAGAATGCCCGTTAGTAGGGTACACTGATTCGAGTTGGTGTAGTGATGTTAAAGATCGAAAATCCACAATAGAATATGTGTTTATGCTAGGTGGTGCACCAGTTGCTTGAAGTTCGTGAAAGGAATCAGTAGTGGAATTATCATCATGTGAAGCAGAATACATAGTTGCTTCTCTTTGTGCATGTCAAACAACTTGGATGATGAACTTGGTCAAAGAGATAACAAGGAAAGATCATGGAGCAATTACCATGAAGATTGACAACATGTCAACTATCAACCTGGCGAAGAACCCGATATCTCACGATCGAAGCAAGCACATCGAAATGAGATTTCACTATCTTCATGAGCAGGTAGCAGAAGGGAAGATAAACTTGGAACACTGCAGAACTGAGAATCAGATTGTAGATGTCATGATGAAGGGAGTGCAGGTCGAAATATTCAGAAGATTAATTGCTATGATGAATATAGATAGTTTAGACACAATGAATTATGTGGTGTGTTAAATTGTAATTCATGTGTGTCGAAACTATGTGTGTCGAAGGGTTAAAGGTTATCGAATCAGGTTGCTCGATGGAAATCATTGTCCAGTTGAGGAGCTTGTGGATCGAAGCAGGCTACACACATATTTAATTTGGTTTTAGATTAGATTTGATTTAGATATAAAATAGATATATTTGATTTAGTTCCAAAATATGTATTTTGGACTTTCATAGTTTTGGGCTTTGACTTATAGAGCAAGTTAACCTAAATCTATAAATAGAAGGAGTAACCCCTATTTTTGTAATCAAGTCAATTAAATTGTATTCACAGAATTTGCAGTTGCAAATGAATAAAGTTTTCCAGAATTTATGGACAGAGAGAAACTCTGCAGAAAATAATTGTTTTTTTTCTTTGTTATTTTTTCATCATTATTATGTGGTGATAATACTCTTGTTCATCAAAATTGATAGAAATTCATCATAGATTTTGGTGGATTTCCAACATTATCAACTATAAACTCATTTGTTATAGATTATCTTATTCATAATGTTTTATTTCCCACTAAATAAAGTCACAATCTAGATAATTTTCTTAACGAGTAACTAACTTATCTAATATATGTTACTCTTCATTAAAAATGGACAATTGAGATAATTTTTTTAACAAACTCGTGTATTCTTCTTTTATATTATATATTGTTATGTCGTAGATTTTTGACAAAATATCTTTTTTAGTCCCTTAAATTTACCTCGGAGTTCATTCTGCTCCCTTTTCGTTAGTCATTTCCGTATTCAATGTGGCATTTGTTTTTCATCATAGTCATTGACATTCTAAAAATAAATTTTAAAAGTTTGCAATCAGCTGGATTCAAACCTAGGTTATCATGATTGCATGAAGATTAACTTACCACTAAGCCACTTAACTATCAGTTATCAATAATGCATTCAGGTTTCTTATATGTCGACATTCGTACGCTCCTAATTTAATTTGGGAATATATTTGACCCTATACCTTTTTTCTTTGATCTACAGGAATGCAAAGTAACCCAAAAAGGGGAATGTATTATGATTTCTGGCAAAACACGAGGTCTGTGAAGTCAACTATACTTCATTTCCAAGTAAGTTAGTTCTAAATTATTTCCCTTTAATTTTAATTTAAAGAGTATCAATGTAATAAGATTTGTTATGTACCTGATATGTTGTTTTGTTATGTGGGAAAAAAGCTAATGTCTTTCAATTTACATCTAAAACTGGATAATATAGTTGCTGCCATTAGTTTAATTAATATTAATTTGAAACTTTTAATTTATCACTTGCAGTTGAGGAACTTAGTTTGGTCGACATCTAAGCATGATGTATATCTTGTTGCACATTACTCAATTGTTCACCGGTCTTCATTAAGTTCTAAGAGATCTGAAGTCTTGAATGTATCCAGGCATGTTGCTCCATGTGGGATAATCATTTTTACATTGTTTTGTTCTTAAAGTATCACTTAGAAAAAAATATGAATTTTGAAAAGTGTGTTGCTGACAGAAACATCCGAGAAGCCTCTTGGAGGGTTTTACTCAGACACAAATTAGTACACTGACTGTACGGGATAACTTGTTGATTGCTGGAGGTTTTTAAGGAGTGCTTATTTGCAAGGTACATCCTATTTACTTATGCAGAGGTATCGTTACATTTTTCTTATTATTTAATGGATTTACTTAAGCTACAACTCTACCATTTTCCTTTTTGATATGTTTAGTGAGATATATCATGCATAAAATAACAATTTTTCCTACTTTAATTGTACAAATTGGTGTATTGATATTGTTCTAACATATTTATATTATATAGTATAAATGTTCACCTTTGTTTTTTTTAGACGGGGTTGAGCTAAATTCTTAATAGGATTAATTAAGATTATAGGGATTAAAAGGGGAAATAATTCAATGTTACCTTTATTTTGTTTATGTATCTTTGTTCTTTCAAATTGATGTATTTGTCTATTTTTTCCTATGACAGTAGAAGCATGTAATAGAAAGCAATATTTTTCTTCTCTAAACTTAGCAATGATTCTTGAGCATTTATCCATTGTGGTAAACCTACTTCTTCCTTGTTGAGGTTGTGGTTGTTTGTTCAACAGGATTTAGTAAACCGAAATACAAGGAGGTCACGAAGTCATTAAATTAGGAGTGCAAGAATGTCAAGATATTTGATAGAATATAATTTATTTAAACAAAATATAATTCATATCTAACTTATATAATTAATAACTCACTCTTATATATAGTATAACCAATTGATAACTAATTTATAGTTAATTTATATACAAACAAAGTAATCATAACAAAAATGTTTTTTCTTCTTCTAGAAAATAACATAAATGTTTTAGTGAGTCAGTTATAGATGAAAAATCTAAATAAATAAATAAAAGAAGTAGAAGAAAGAACGAAAAGTTCTATGATAGGAAGATTTTTGCATAATGGAAGATCATTAGTCAAAATGATTTTGAATTTGAGTAATTTTTATATTTGTGTTGCAGATGAAATATCAATGCATAGATTATATAGACGATTAGACAGTATGTTCAGAATATGTTTTGGACAGAGTAATTCATCTTCCTTTCGTTTCTTTCGTTCCTTTTTGACTTCGTTGGTATCGTTTTCTATTGATTTTGGAATTGGTTCCAAATCAGAATCTAAGAAATAGTGAATTTTCAGGGCAGTCAAGAGAAACGTCATTTTCTCTTGCTAGCATGTGTAATTTGTTCCATCGAAATGATCCAACTTGACAAGGTCCTAGTTCATCACCTTGATACTTGAAATTGTAGCGTTGGTGACCATGATTTGAGATACTATAAAATTGTTACGTAAGACTTTAAAGTTTGATGATTCCAGGCTGAAATTGTGTACGAAACACTTTCCTTATAGTATTTCAAGCACTCTCGATTGTCTTGAGTTTCGATGCAGGAATACTTAGGATAATTCAGTCTTCTCGAGTTTGCACAAGATAAATGAAAACTCGAATGCAGCGGAGAATGTTTGGAATTTATTCTAGAGGAAATGCGATTGTTGTTACCGAGTTTCTGAATTTGAAATGAAGCATTTATAGGGCACATTAGTACTGTTTCACAAGGTGACGATCCTTGGTGAAACAATGTCTTTGTACTAAAAATTATAATGTTTGGCCTACTGCAACATATTCCAGAAGTTGCATGTTTTCATTCAGCAACGCTTCATGAAGTGTTGCCATTTTTCAAATTCAAAATTCAAAGTGCCGCTAACAAGCCACTACTAACGCCTCTACGGCCACGCCAACGGACTCGGTCTCGGAGCCGGTGGCGGCACCGACGATAGATTGTATGGATGAGACAAGTGACATAGTGCTTGAAACCACTACACTTATCTATGTGACACTTTATCTTCTTTTGTCATTTTGTTGAGTAAATATTCTTAACTCTTTATAAAGGGATTGGGTTTGACTGCCGTCAGAAATCCTTTGCATTCACGCTATCACTCATGTGATCAAGATCAGCCGACTGTGATTTAAGAAAAATACTTTTAAAATTATTTAATAAAATTTAAATATGTCTGTTTTAAACTGTTCGATCAAAATTGAACAATCACAATCATCTTAAGTGTGTGATTGCGTGAAAAACTTAACAACAACAAACCATTTTCTTTTATAAAGACTTTCAATGTGAATCCTTTTTTTTAGTGAATTACTGATAAATGAAAAATCCAAAAAATAAAATTAATAATAATAATAATAATAATAATAATAATAATAATAATAATAAATAAATAAATAAAAAGAAGTAGAAGAAAGAAAGAAAAGTATGTGGTAGGAAGATTTTTGCGTGACGGAAGATCATCAGCGAAAATATGCATTTGTGTGGTGAGTATAGCTCCTTCTCTGGTAGTGTGTCTTTTTGATACTTTGATTCTTCTTACCAATAATACCAAACAACCCTTTAACGGCATTCACATACATGTTCCTTCCTTCCTTTTTCTTCACATATACAAAAAGATACCAAAGAATCTTCCCTCTTCATATTTTTATTCTTCCATTCTTCAAATTACTATAACAATACTAAAACTCCTCCAACACAATAACAACACACAAAACACATAGAATAATGAGAGCAATAAATTCACATGTTGTCCTAATTGATCTCCACTCCACTTCATGGCAAAGAAACAACAGACACTTTCTATTTCCCGCTCCTCTCATCCACCGTTTCCGAGGTTCGAAACCGATTCGTTCCTCGAAATCATATTCAGTTTCTCCCGAAATTCGGCGTCCGTCTGATCGATACCCGATCGGGAATGGGTCAGCGCCGTCGGTTTCGCAAAGCGGAACCACCATTGAGCTTGATATGTTTCTGGGGCTTCTTCCGTTTGAGATGAGGACGGAGTTGTATAGGCATAGTGAGATTGGAGGTTTGATTGAGGTTGTTATGGATTTAGGGAGAAAACCTCTTGCTAGGTTTCCTTCTGGTGATTGGGTTATTTCTCAACAACCTATTAACCACAGCGATTTACAACACGCCATTTCCAAGGTACATCCTTATAACCACTTATGCTAAATCAGATGTCCTGAGTTTGAACGTGCATGCATCCTGAGTTTATAGTTGTCATTAATTTGTTATAGGTTGGTGAGTTTTCGGATGACAACCGATCTGGTATTGATAGCTCTTTGCATAGAATAAGCGCAATTCGGAATCGTCAGAGGCAGGTCATTGGACTTACATGTCGTGTTGGTCGAGCGGTGAGTGGTAGTGCTGAAATTATACGTGATCTGGTTGAGGGAGGAGGTTCTATATTGGTTATTGGACCTCCTGGTGTTGGTAAAACTACCTTAATCAGGTCAACTTTTTTTCCGTTTTTTTTTTACTGTGTCTCGATTAGTATGTCTGTATGATGCAAATGCCACTGACCTGCGTTTCTTTTCGTTTTCTTACCTCCGGATGTCTGAAGAAAAGCTTTGCTTGTGCAGAGAGACTGCTAGGATGCTGGCAGATGAGTTCAAGAAGCGCGTTGTAATAGTTGATACATCGAATGAAATTGGAGGTGATGGAGATGTTCCTCATGCAGGCATAGGAAGGGCAAGGAGGATGCAAGTTCCAAATGTGAATATGCAGCATAGTGTTAGTACTAATAATCTCAGTCATTTTCGTATTCATGTAACTTTTTTTTGTTAATTTGCAATCTAATATTCTGTGACGCCGTTTTGTCCATTTGTGCAGGTTATGATTGAAGCAGTTGAAAATCATATGCCTCAAACCATTATAATTGATGAAATTGGAACAGAACTTGAAGCATTAGCAGCAAGTACCATTGCTCAAAGAGGAGTTCAATTGGTTGGAACAGCTCATGGAACAACCATTGACAGCATAATGAAAAATCCTTATCTTCAGATCCTTGTTGGTGGCATAGAGGTGCAAACTTCAAAGCTAGTTTTATTTATTCTCCTTCAAGTTTATGATGAAGAATGGTTGATTAACAGTTTGTTTGGATACACAACATATTTCCAACTTATAGCACAAAAGCTTATCAAAATAAGTGTTTATGAATAAGCTATTTTTATAACAAAAGATAAAATAACTAAATTGTGACATTGTTTGGGGACCTTTTCAAATATTATAAGTTGTTTTGAAAATGTAGCAATCTAAATTAAATATGTATAGGGGCTTGTTCATATAGTGATGTTTATCGATCATTTATTTGAATAGAGTGTAACTCTTGGGGACGATGAAGCCAGGAAAAGGAAAGTGCAGAAGACGATTCTTGAAAGGAAAGGACCTCCTACATTTACGTGCGCTGTTGAGATGATATCCAAAACTGAATGCCGTGTTCATCGGAGATTAGATGCAACTGTGGATGCCATTTTGGCAGGTATTCCTCATCTTCTATAATGTAATTTCTCAGTTCATTATCTAACTGGCTGATATATTATTTTAGTTATTTGGATTGTAATTTGACTCGGAAACTTTGTTGCAGGAAAACCTCCAGTATTTGAACTCCGTCATTGGGATGATTTTTCCAATGATTCGGTGAAGCATGCTCTAATACCTGAAGAAAGTCATGAAGAAACACCTGATTTAAATTTAAATTTAAACTTAACTAACAATAATACCATGAGTTTTGACAGAGAGTATGGCGAGGATGATAAATACTACTCTCCCACTCGATTCAATAAATGGCGTAATAATCGATCTGTGATCAAGAGGAGTTCACCAATGCAAGTGTACACTTGCAATGTAATAATGGATCTGTCTCATTTTCCATTAGCAAATTTCGTAAAATGTTTCTTATTTTATTTCTAACCATGCACTGTTTTTCTTGTTGGATGAATTTTTTAGATGCTTGAGGCTGATCTACAACAAGTAACAAAAGTGATGGGGTTTGAAGATTTACTAGAAATAACCGATGACATTGGAAGTGCTGATGCAATTCTTGCGTCCAGTTCTGAGTTACGACAGAACCCATGGATCCGTGGTGCGGCCAAATTCCACCAGTTACCTGTATTTGTTCTCAAGGTGCCCTTTGGCTATAGCTACCCTCTTTCAGTCACTACTTTGACGCAGTCTTCTTTTGCCTTATACGAAATTTTGTTCCTTACTTGCAGTCTAATACCATGGCACGGATGGTAAAGGCCGTAAAAATGATCCTTGGGCTAGAATCCTTTGGCCCCACGACAACAAAGAAGCCATCAAAGGAATCTCCGGATATTGAAATTGAGGATGAAGAACCAAAACGAAAACCGTCTCTTGAAGAGATTGATGCCTTGGAGGTACCGCCTTTTTCTGATAAACCACTTTTGTAATTTCGACATTATTATAATATTTATTGTATTCTTATGATAGGAGGTTCGGCTAGCGATAGAGTACATAGTGATTCCTGGTGGAGAGGCCGTGGAACTTCTTCCGAGACGTTCTGAAATTATCGACCGGCAGCTTGAACTCGTGCAGAGCTATCAGTTAGCTGCTGAAAAGTCAGGTACTGATCAAAACACGAGGTTGCAGATTCTTCCCTTGAGGCTCAGTACCAAAATATCCTCCAAAACTGGTTCCGTTTCCCGCAAGAAAAGAAGTTCTACATCAGAAGCTTCTGCTGGTGTTGTTGTTGGTGGCAATGGTAGCACTGTCTCTAGGCTTCCTATTTTACCAGAATGATTCAAAGTTTTCTCCCATTCTAACATGTTTCCCTCCATTGGTTTGTACATGGATGTATGTAATAACATGTACAGTCATGCAAGTGGTGTAAAACTGTAAATAATTTTTAGTATTTTGTTCATCCACAGAAAATATAATGATTTCACTCCTGAAATCATGTTGAATCATACAAGCTTTATGATAAGCATTAAAAATGATCAATATAACTATAGAAGTAATATTTCTTTTAAAAGGTCCACGGAGTGTCACTTTCATATGTGTCTTGTGAAATAATCTTGTATTTGAATTCATATATGTGCGAGTTAGTGCATGGAATTCATATATGCTTTTAATAAAAATAAATTGATCCATTATAAATGATAAATATAACATAATTTTAAGTTTTTAACGATATTAAAAAATTTAAATATTTTACTGTTGAATTATGAAATAATCAAATATTTGTATTAAAATTAAAATGAGTATTGTATTGGTATATTTGTAAAGGACCCACAAGAGGCAGTGTATAAAGTTCATTAAGAGGGCGACGTAACATGTCGCCTCACTAGATTCCTCGTCGTCCGTTTATTAGAACAAGCGTCTTACATCTGGTTATGACACCCATTTCTCATATCGCTCGCCTTCCTGTTGAAACATGGAGGTGATGTGTCATAGTTCGTCATGGTATGTGGAGGAGTCAAATGAAGGTATATGTCTCTTCCACGCTCTTGAGAATGAGGAGTGTGGAACCCATCTCCTCAAAATCTGAGACACAAGTCCATAAAATTCTTATAAATACCTCAACATTGAGGTTGAGAGGATGATCCAATTCATTATACAAAATACCATATACAAAGTTTTTCATCTCGCTGTGTGAGCAGGCTTGACGCCTGACAACCTTAGCCTCCTTCTGGTCTGATGACAATTCCCCTTTGTGAGATAATTGTATACCGGGATCATCTAGCAATTACTGTTGCCATTGGCGTTCACGTCCAATGTTGTGGAGGTTTTTTGATGCTTGGTCGAGGAAGTATCTCCTGGATCACATATTTGTTTCTTCCCTTCCTTTTTGTGCTCACGAGTTTTGACAGAATATCTGCTCGAGTATTGTGTTCGTGGGGAACATGTTTTACCTCCACGAATTCGAATTTTGTCATTCTTTCTCGGACCAGAGTCAAGTATTCAGAGAGGTTATCGTTCTTAACTTGATATTCTCCTCGCACTTGAGAAACGACGAGCTGGGAGTCTGCGAAGATTTTCACTTCTTCGGCCAAACGCATTCATGCGAGGAAATCTTTGTATTTTGCTTGGTTGTTGGAGGTTGGGAAGGATAAGGTGATGGAGACTTCAATCAGGATTCCTTCCTCGTTCTTGAAGATGATGCCCACTCCACTTCTAGATGAACCAGAGGCTCCATCCACAAAGATAGTCCATTTGTGTGCCTCGCACGGGGGGATAACGAGGTAATTTCTGCCATGAAGTCGACTTTAAGGGCCTTTCTGCCCTCGTACCTGATGTTGAACTCAGACAACTCTAACGACCATTTGAGTATCTTGCGCGCCATGTCTGGATGGCCAAGCAGCTGTTTCACGGGCTGGTCTTTCCAAACGGTTGTTGGACCCCAAAATTTTCCCTCTCTTTTCTCAAGACATTTCTCATAAAGATCTTCAAAAAGCTCAAGCTTGTACAAGGGTTGACTAGGTCAAGCCATTTCCTTAACACTGATACCTCAAATTAGGGTTTGAGTTTGCACAAGGACAATTGGATTTCTAATACTTCAAATGGCTTTCATGGATCATTATGAACACTCAAGATTGCCCATGTCAAGTTTCAAGTCTTGGATCACAAAATTGCTCAGTCAATTGATCAGATGACCTAAAAATCAACTGTATTGGGTAAAAAGTCAATTGTGGTCAACATTACAGTCAAAACTTCAAGATTTTTGACCCATATCAACATTTTAAACTCATAAGTATCAATTGACTAAGTTTGGATCACAATTCCCCAAGAAAATTGATCAAATAATCAAAAGGGTAAAATGGGCAAAATTAGGGTTTTGACTAAGAAGGCTTGATTTTTAATTTTTTGACCTAATACATGACTTATTGGCTTGAAACATGATATCAAGGATTCAAATGTATCAACTTGACCTAATTTCATGGCTCAACTTTTTTCAAGATCAATTGATTGATAATTGAAATTCAGTCAACTAATGAAAAGTCAACTATACACTGAAAAGTCAAACTTTGACTTTTTGATCAAATATGAGTTTCAAAGATCACATTTCATCAATACATGTAAAAATATAAAACTTGATCATCAAGAAATCAAGAGATTCAAAATTCATTTTGAAAAGTCAAAGTTTCCGACTTAGAAATTTTTCTAAGTGTTTTATACATGTTTTTCTTCATGACTTCATGCCAATTTTTCACCAAGATGCAAGATGATTCAAGAAAAACTTCAAACATGAAAGTTGTAGATCTCAATGATATATAAAACTTTGTATAAGGTAACAAGTTCTAGAAATGCTTGTATTTTAAGTTATAAATTTATAAAGTCATATACATGGTATAAAAAGCACGTAGTGAAATTTCGAGTGCTTTAGGCAGATTTTTGGTACCAATTTCATGGCAACTTTTCACATGGTTCCAAATTGATTCTTTAAAAATTTACAACATGAAGGTTGTATAGGATGTTCCAAGATTTCCAAATATTCCAAGAACTCATTGAGATCATTCTTGACCCGAGAGAATCGAAGAGATGAAGTTAGGGTTTCATTCTTAAATTGCAAGGCAGAATTTGTGATAAACACATAACCAAATCTCATAACCTTATCATCTAATATCACTTTTCAGGTCATGTTGCTTCCAAATTTCCACATAATCATACATTTACACAAATTTGTGACGCATTACACAAAGATTTGAGGCTTTATCCATTCGGTCATACCATTTTTGGATGAATTTGCAAAAAGCCCCATATCCATTTTCATAAAGATCACTTTAATCACAAAGTCAGCTTCTTGAGCTCCCAAACTTGTTCCATCTGAACACAAGCAAAGTCAAAACCAAAAGTAACAGGTCTAAGGCCTCCAACAACTTCAGACCATGCTTGTACAACACATTGAAACTTATTTTTCACTTTCCTTAAAAAATAAGCCACCTAGCCAAACCCTATAACTCATAAATCCTTTGTGAAAAACCTCTCTAACTTTTTCCATACAAGTATACAAGTCTATTGCAAGCAATCACACGAGATTACAAGCCCTTAAACTCCCTCAAGCCAGAAATTGCATAAAACCTCCATTTTTGTGTCATTTCTGGCTTTGAATACCCAACTCACAATTCCCTAATGCGTTTCTTAGCTAAAGCATTTTTAAAGCTTCTTTACCTCAAATATAAAACATCACAACACCTATTTTCAAACTGTAACACCATTTACACCATTCTCCATTTTCAAAAATAGAGGTGTGCATCTTGACTTCTCCAGGCCAGTTCAAGCACTCTCTGCTCAAGGTAACCATTGGAATAGCTTCCTAGGGACTCAAGGAAGCTAACCTGATCATTACAGCAACTTGAATCAAGTTCATTTGCAGAACACAATTTCCAGTTTTGAGGTAAAATTTCTGACTTTCAATCTCTCCATATAGGCATTGTTAGGCTTCCATTTTCAAAGATAAAATATAGACATCATAGCCCTAAAGATGACCATGTCCTTAGAATTCATTTATATTGTCTGAGTAGAGAGAATTTTAGAGTTGAACTTTCTGAAAAAGTTAGGTCAAATTTGGTACCATTAGAAATTCTCATTCATCTTTGAGTTATAGCTTATGATATTTATATGGTTGAGTTCATATGGAAAAATTGAGCAATTTTCATGTTTACATTTTTCATTTTGGTTGAGAATTGATAAAGTTACAGTTTTCAAAATTGTTGGCGCGAGGAAGAAGATGAAGTTGGCCTCCTGACTTGTTTTATTTTATATATTTATGGTTTTGTATTAATAAATAGATGTATAGCCACCCCAGTGGTAGAGAGCGCGCGTGTAATGTAACACCCCGATTTAATTAAAATTATTTTTAATTAAATAGTTAGATAATGTGATATGATATTTTGTTGGGGACTAGATACCTTAGAATTATGAGAGTTGAGGTTTTAGGGGTGTATGGCTAAATGTGTAGAGACATGGGGGTGCGTAGTATAATATGGATTTTTATTACTATTATATTATAATATTAGGATTATTATTATTTTATAATAATAATTAAATAAAATTGGGATAGTTATTTTAATATTGGGATATATTAGAGTGAGAAGAAGAAAAAGAGAGTCAATACGTAGAAACAAAGAAAGAGAGGCGTAAAAGTGAGAAGAGGAGAAAACACTAGGAAGCTAGGGCAGGAAAGTTCATCAGTAGGAATCAAGAATCATCACCAATCTAAGGTAAGAGGGATTCTAACTCTACAAGGGTTTTCCTAATGATGGGGTATGGTGGTGTTTAGGTTCCATGGTTGTATGCTTTTGATTTCTCCCTATTTGGTTGTTTTGGGGTTTTACCCTTTGATGATTGATTTTGATGCATTGTGCGTACCATTGATGTTTGATATGTGTGGTAATTGATGTATGATAATAGGGGATGATAATCTGGGGTTTGATTATGCATTATCGCATGAAGTTCGTGTTTTTAGAATTAAGCTAAAAGGGTTTTCACACTGCTATTTTTTTGAATCTGTAAAACTTTTTCATAGGGTGAAATCGATTTGCAGTGTAGGTGCAATCGATTGCATAGTTCAATTTTGGTGAATTTTTATTCTGTTTCAGTAAGCAATCAATTTGCAGTACAGAGAAATCGATTTTCCCAGCTTAAAAGCATGATTTTTGGCCTCTGGAACAAGGTGTAATCGATTTGCATGTTAGTGCAATCGATTGCTCAATGTTTGATAGCATTTTTGAAAACTTGAAAACTCCATAACTTTTGACTCGGGTGTCTGTTTGACGCGCCATTTGGATCATTGGAAAGCT